TAATTCTGTTATAATTATAGTTGATTAGCTGTTATAAACAACAAAAAAGTAGAAACACTGAATAGCGCGCGAAAAGAAAAAACGAAACACTCCGAATAGCTTTTAATCTAATGATTGAAATTTCACGACCAAGGATTCAAACTTTTATTATTAGTTTAGTACATTTGAACCCAATTGTTTAGTCAGGAGAGCGGTCCATAATTCGGAACCTTGAATGTATTTTTCTTTTGTACTTCTCTATAGTTCGAGAACTTAACCGATGACTTTTTACACATAGTTAAATAAATTCATTTATCCAAATATATACAAAAATTATCTAATTAATAAATATTCACTGCTTAATTTTTAAAAAAAAGTGAAAAAAATTAAATACAAGGTATACAATTTTTGAAAAATTTTCAAGAATATAACTTTATATGGCAAAATACTGAATTTCAGTGAAATCGGTTAAAAAGTTTCGGAGAATACGAATTTTAAATTATTAGATATTTCTAAAATTCTCTCTTCCAAAAGTTTTACATTTTGAGGGTAAAAAACCCAAATCCCTGAAAAAGAGGTATGTTTCTTCAGAAAAAAAAACACTTTCGCGTCTGGTTTCATGTCGTGATGTCGCCAGCTGTAACTAATTAGCATATTTGAAAGTATCTCCTTGAACGATACAGAATGAGTCCTCGTAGGCGAAAACTAGATTAATAGATCAAAAGTTATCCAGAGTGGTTCATTTGCTTTCACACTGTAGATTCAGAAGAATAAAAAAATACATTACAGAAATATATGGATATACTATTGGAAAATATGTGGCTGGGTGGCGCAGTTGGTTTGTCGTCGGCCTTCTGAGCCCAAGTTTGCGGGTTCTATCTCCGGCCCAGACATCGCGGATTTTCGGGATGCAGAAAATCCTCAGCGGCCATGTCGTATGATTATGCGGCATGTAAAAGATCCCTGGAGTGCCTTATTGGCTCTTGGCATTTCTGGCAAAATTAAATTCCTAGTGCACCTTAGCATCCAAATAGAGTCTCGATGCTGCCATCTCGTGTGGCAGAAACTAGACGTACAAATTAACATGACCGACGGTATCTCACCCATTGTGGTGGTCCTGAAGGAGTGGATACCACCTCTGGAGAACGCACTAGATCTGCTTATCGGCAAGACCGATTGTGCAGCTCATTGGAAACAAACAAAAAAAAACTATTGGAAAATATTATTGTTATTGGTATTATAAAATGTTACAGTTATTACAACAATTAAATTCATTGATCAATAAGATTCATCCTCAATCTATGAAATCCATCAAGACCAATCCAATTGTTTTAAAAGCTATGAAGAATAATTGAAACAAAAAGGTTAGTATTTATTTCTTTAAAGTTGGAACAGCAAATCATATTGAATTTTGAAATAGATATAAGATAGTTTCTTGTCTTAAGTTTCAGAAATTACTCATTCAAACTTATAAATTTTATCAAATGAATATGCTACACTATTTTAAAAGATAATTAAACTAAGTCCTTTATCTTGAGTTTAGCTAAAGTACCAGGTCAATTTTTGAAAATTTACGGATAATGTGCTCACATAATTAAGCACATTTTAATATTTGTCGAAACAAAAATATTAGTAAATATCTATAAAATATTAGTATATACCTTTAAAATATAGCTAATTATATGCACATTTGCGTAAGTTAAAAATAGTCAAGACTTCAAATTAAAAATCTTAACAGAAAAGTAATGCTAGATTTTAGTTGAACCTACACTGAGAAAAAATATTGTAAAAAACAGAAAATGGTACAACTTACAGTGTTGTGTGTATTAAAATGCTCGGCGTTTTGACAGAAGCGTTTTAGTTATACATTTTTAAAAGCAACAATGAAATACAGTTTCATGACGTATGACAAAATTTCAAAAATGTGGTTAACCTTGGTAATTTTATCATGATACCTTAAGACATGACGTAGAAATCTTTTTTTTAGTTATATTTACCCTTTCAATTTTATTTGCTGATTGTGTGATAATAAAAACTATAATTTTGCAAACCGGAATTTCCTGTAAGCCGTTACCAAAGGAACGGTAAAATTATCAAATGAATGTTTCAACTACATATTTTGATAATATTAATCAGAATTAAGAGTGCGTGTTTTTTTTCAGAAAAATTTTATTTCCATATTCTATGATAATTTTACCAGCATTTTTTCTCATTGACCCGTTGTTCTTTTTTGGTCGCAGCAATTTTGTATTTTTGAAGCCGTTTAAAGATATGTTTAATTTTTATTTTTTTAACTACAATTTAATTTTCTTGTTTATTAATAATATATAGCTTCTTTGAAACCAATGAAAATCTAAAAAAAAATAATCATCTTTAAAAGCAAAAGAAAATGTATTTAATTATTTTATTTTACATGAAATGCCGAAACGACGTGTTCTTTCAAATAAATAATTTCACAATCGTATATAATATTGAAATCATATTCTCGACATTGAGAAATATTTTCTAATCCAAAAAATAATAAAATCATCTGCAAAACATATTATGCGTCATTCGGAAAAGAAAACCTAAAATCAAGTTTATTTTTCGGCAAAAATAATGAAAAAGTATTAGGAATTAATATAAAAAACTACGCATTTCTTCTTTTGAAATGAATTTCATCTTATTATGAAAGTATACCAATTACAATAATAAATTTAATGGATGAGAATATAATATTTATGTTTTTAACTAAAAGAAAAGAGTAATAATGTATCACAAAAGTGAAATAAAGTAATTAAAAAACCTAAATTTCAAATAATACTTTATTTTGCATAAAAAATTTATTTAACAACAAAACTTTTTGCTAAAATTTGTTTTGAGTATTCGAGTTTTAACTAAAAATAAACAAAAATTACCACTTCAAAGTAAAAGAAACACAACGAGAATAAAAAGCAATGAATTAGAAGAAAATTAATTTATTACTTAAAAGCAACGAAATAATAAAATAAATCTTTCTAAACACTAACAGCAACTAATTAGTGGTGATTTTTTAAACTTAACTTGCTGTTTTTTTAAATTAGTACTTTAAAAAGTAGAATAGTTGAAATAGAAATTCGCATTAGCAGGGTCTTCGCATATTTAATTTACAAATTAATTTCATTAACGTTATTTTTAAAGTTTTACTGGAAAAGAAATACTATGTTTTCTTCTTTTTTTAACAAAGCACTGTTATTTCATTTGCGAGAAATTACTTCATATTATTATTTTAATATTGGTTTTTCTAGGGTTTCAATTAAAAAAGATATGATAGCTAATATCTTATAAACTTGTAAAAAACTAAGCAAAATAAGATTTCTAAACCAAATGATTACTACAACTGCATAAAATAATTTTAGCATAAATATAAATATTTGCACTAGTTAAAAAAATATAAGAGATTAGAAGTGCCTATTAATTGAAAATTCTTAATTTATCTGATATCAATCTTTACTAATCTGGTCAATAGAATCATTAAATGTTTTTCATTATAAAATCATTAAATTAAATTTTCATTAAATTCTTTTCATTATAAAATCATTAAATTAAATTTTCATTAAATGTTTTTCATTATAAAGTCATTAAATTAAACTTTCATTAAATGTAATCATTATAAAATAATTTTCAAGCAAAATTTTAATTATAACAAGGAGAAAATGGCCCAAACAGATCGTTAAAAATGTTTCAAAGATACTAAACTTGGAAACAGCAAGCTCTTCTGTCGATTTATGCATTTTCATAGAGAAGGTGAATTTATTTAAAAAAAGTAGAATAACCATAAATTATTAGGAACTCCATTATCAAGGGGTACTGGCCTTCCACCAAATACTCTGAAGCTTGGGGGTAGTGGGAACAATATCTCTCTGCCGTCTTCCACAGTTTTGTGCAATTTGATCTTCAATTTATTAAAATACAAGCCATTCATTGCATTAAACATGCGAGCCTGCACATGTATCTAAACAAAAATTTATTTATTTATTGTTACGCATCTGGATATACTGTGGAATTAGAGCCCGCTCCCTTCATTTAAAGTAGCGTTTTGACTGCTCGGTCTGGGAGGTCTCTGCAAAACGACTGATTTAAACGAGATACTTTTCTAAATATTTATTTATTATTTCAAATACATATACATGTTTGTGTGCCCGATGCAAATTACAATTTATCATTAGACTTCATAAAATTGAAAAACATATATTGTGTTGTGGATAATGCCTTAGCTAACGCGTATTCAAAGTAACCAGTAAAGTTTGGTGTAGGTAATGGAATTACAGACAAATACTCGTAAACTAAATAGCATTTACATAACATACCCGGAACTAAACTCGGTTGCATAAATCAAAACAATAAACATTTAATGGCGTCTACAATACAGAGCCCTTGAAGAATTGTAACAAAACAACAGTTACCAGCATTAGTTTAAGAGACGCATTTGGCCAGAACTTAAGACCCTTCAGAGGTATCTTCGTGGTGTTAAATTCCCAGTAGTAAGCCTGCCCAATACCTAAGCCAAGTACTCGAGAATAGACCAGTCTCAGTAGGGTATCAATGCTAGTAAGACCGTTTCGAATTGAACGCTCGGGATATAATTATTCAGCTAGCGTTTCTGCTAGCTTATCCTGGATTCGCATCTATTACTCAACTAGTTGAATGTTCACCTACAAAATTTATACTAAATATACAACAAACATTTCCTTCAAATCAGCCATACAAAAAACAAGTCACTTATTGCGATTATGACTTATTGTGATTAAGACTTATGCTTATTCAAAGAAACCAATAAATATCAGTAGAGATAATACAATTTCAAACAAACACCCACAATAACCCTTTGAAAATCTGATGAATTGAAATAAGATGAACTCTGTAAAACAAATCAATGAACATTTATGGGCGGAAACGCATTTGGCCAGAGCATCAATCTCTTCAGTGATACCTCCGTTTAGTTAAATCCCCAGTATTAATCCTGTCTATTCCCTTATCCAAATATTCGAGACCAGACTTACCTCAGATGGGTATTAATAAAAATGAGAGTTTTTTTTTAAAGCAACACCTGCTTTCCGTTCTCCTGGCACTTCAGCATCACTTTCATGAACGTGGAACGGAAATCTGCAAAGATAACTAAAATACAAATAGCATCCTACAGTATGAGAGCTTAACTAAATAATCGGCAAAGCCCTTTATTGAGGATAAAAAAGAACTATACAGTCGCAGTTATGGCATTGTTAAGAGCTTTCAGCTAATTAATGATCACGCTCACTTGATATTAAAATCCAATATCAAAGTTTTTAATGCACCAAACCCAATACATACAACACAAGTTAGAGAACGGCATTACGAACGACATTACAAGGTAACGCGGAGGTAACGGGTTACCATTACCATGGAAAAATCTTTGTGATGTCATTTTCAATTTTGTTCAATATGTTGTTCGAAGTGACAAGGGTTTATAAGTTGAACTTTTTAAAGAATTAATCAAGAATGTATTAGAATATGTAACAATAAAAAGAGGCATTCATTGCTACAATGGGATTCGAATCAGCTTCTTCCTTGCTTTCAATATAGGACATGTCAGCTTGCTGCGTAACATATAAGTTATTAATTTATTTCAACGTTATCCAGGAACTTGTATATTTACAAATATGACTTTTTTATAGTCGTAAAAGTTAGTAAATGCTGGCTTATAGCACACATAGAAATGAAAACAACTAACTAACCAAACCAAAATTAACAAGTTTTTATTAGATAAAACAGAGGTTATAAAACTGAACATTTTTGCATTTTCTTAAATTATAATAATACTGTGAAATTACCAATTGTTTTGGTAAATTTTTCAAATTTTACTTCATTTTCTATCAAACAGCAGGGTTATAAATCTATATTCTGTAGTTAATTTTACCAAAAGTGATTACTAAAGTGTGACGGTGAAAGTGCTGCTAGTTTACAAACATAAAACAGTTACTTCGCGAGTATATAAAATTGTACCTTCTAAACCTATGAAAAGTTGCATAAGTCTTAAATTGTAAGTCAGAACTAAGTCTTAAATTGTTTAAACGAAAAACTAAAAAGAATTTTCTAATTGGTTAAGCGTTAGCCATTGTTAAAAACTTAACTATAGACAATTCACAATTTTTCATATATTTTAAAAATACCAATTTACCAATTTATAGCTGCATTTGGTTGAAAATATTTTATTGCACGAATTTAAATATTTAGTTATTTTATACTAGCTATGTCAATTTAATGAAAATAATATGAATTTAATGAATATAAATTCAATGAAAAACAGTTTTAATTTCAAAGTTGTCTGATAGCGCGGACTTTTTTTATTTATATTAATTCTTTTAAAACATGTTTCTAAAATATTAAACATTTAAAATAAACTGTTATTAAATAGAAAAATATATTAATGTATTCACAGGTAAAATTAATGAGAAGGTGGTGCTACTTCGTTCAATTAATATGTACTACTGGTGTTATGGTAATTGGTGCCGTTTTGATAAGAATTCGACTTCGGGTTTTCCGTAATATCAGAAAACACTTTTTCCAAAGATAGAAAGGCTAGCTCATTAATATTTTAATGAATTAGAATAAAAAAGACTTTTTCAACCACTACTTGTAAATATTCTAACAGTGAAGTAGACGTCAGATAGAGATATAGTCGGCATTAGTTGGCTGCTATTGACAAATGTATTTCATACGAAACATAAATGTTGAAGAGTTATGTAATAAGTACCATATATACTAATATAGGTTTAAAATAATGAGTTGGCTGCGAGCAATAGCATCATGCCAAGTGATGCCAAATACATTTTATCTTTAATACAATGGCATAAACTACAAAAAATGAGCTGTGCTTACTTTAATAAAGTAAAGATACCAAATGATATTAAATTAAAAAAATGAAATTATTTCAGCTATATTTATTGAAAAACTTAGTTTAATGACCAGGTTAGTTACATTTCAAAAACGAAAAAAAAAAGTTTCATCCAAACTACTTTGTTGTCAATTTATTAGGAGATGCGACTTATAACTCTTTGCTTTGTTTTTATTTACTGACTATTTTGAAATAAAAATCATGCAAACATACTAAAAACTAATTTGGATTAGTAATGTTAAGATTAAAGTGATGGCAGACACAGTTCTGTTGCATTAAACGTATCCATACTGAAGCAACCCCTTTATGTTATTTTCTCTAATTCATTAATTCCCCTGAAATAAAAATTTTACCTGGTTCTTTCTTTAAAGCTCTTCAATTATGTCGGTATATGCCTTTCAGTTTAGAACATGATTTCTTAGCGTTTTTCAGTACAAATTTATTGATTCTTTATCTTTTTTATTCATCCCGTGCGAAGAACGGGTATTCAGCTAGCTTTTTATATACATATTAAAATGATATATATATTTTTACATCAATAAAGAACTATAAACCGAAAAAAATAGGGTAACTAGTAGCACTAAAAAATATTAAACGGGAGTACATAAAACTGCACCTTCGAAACCTATGAAAGGTTACCAATAACAACAATATATTTCAATATTTTCGAATTATTTGAACTTTCTATAGAATAAACAGACTTCCATGAAATAAAAGAATAAATACAAAATGTCGAATGGTAATGTATGAGCTTTCTAACTTAAGAGAAAGCTAAACATTCAACCTAAAAGTTTATTTGATTCCGCTGAGTTTGAACTTTTCAGTTATTTCCAAAGGTTCTTTCCTGCTATTTATTTACTTTCTCCTTTTGTCTTTTTTTTATTCTTTTTGGAAAATATTGTATAAGAGAAAGGAAATGTAAAGATATACTTGATCTCTAAGATGTATAACTTCGTTTCAAGAGTTCTTTACTTTCTTTCAATCCGAATAAGTTTTTCTTTGACAAAAACCATTCTTTAAATCTTTTAAGCCATCAACTTTTCGTATCCTTCTAGGGTTTAATTCTGTTTCATTAATTTTAGGAATTGCTCTTTAGATTTCCTAAAACCTATTCTCTTTATGTCTCAGACGAAGAACAAATCTTTCAGATTATTAATAGTATTTGGATAAGTACTCGTAACTCTATATATTACACAAAAAGACCGAAAAATACCAAACCTAATTTATGTATAGTATATATATCTAAATTGATAATGTCTATGCTATAACTAGAGATCTCTGCCCGCATTTCATTTTGGTCATTAAACCTCGGGATCTACACAATCGTTTTTTGTTTCTTGATGCTGAACTTTTATGTCTAAATTAAAATGTATTTAGTTGAAAGGTCCTAATATGCATCATTGTATTTACTTGGATTTGATTTCACAGATTCAGCTCCCGATTCCGCTAGGATAAAATTTAAACTTAACAAATATAAGTAAACCACAACTTTAGGTTTTTTTCCCCACCTATAATTGCAAATAATCTTGAATGGGTTCATGGTAAGTTCAGAATGATATTAAAATTTTAGGACTTGAGCGTGATAAGCTATCAACGAAAATAAAGAGTCCTATCTCTTAAAATATTGTTATAAAGTACTAAAAATAGCTTAAAAATCCTGCTATTTATTAAATTTTTTATATAATTTACATTTTAAAAAAACAAGACGACCATTTTGACCAAACAAAGAATTAATTTATTTTCTTTCTTTTCCATTTTATTGAAGTTTCTGTTTTACTGATATGGTGATCTATGGAGAAGGCGATATAATTTTGAAATTGCAAGACTATTTAGAGAAAAAGATATAATAAATTATGTAAAGGCAAAGAGAATCTAATGGCTAGGCCACCTTGAAGGAATAGAGGAAAACAGAGGTACTAAGAAAATATTCAAGGGGCAGTGCTAGGGCCAGAAGAAAAGAGGAAGGCCGGCCAAGAGATGGTTAGACGAGGTGGAAAAAGACCTAAAGACTCTAGAAGTCCGAACTGGAAACAAAGAGCAAAAAAAAACAGGCTACTTAGGAGGAAAATTGTTAGTGAGGCCATGGTCAAACATGGACTGTAATTCCAGGGAGTTAGTTAATTAATAAGTTTTACTGATGTGTAAATGATCTCTTAAAATTTGATTTCCTTGGAACTATTCGGAAGAAAAAAAATATCTTCTGTATTTTACCAGACAAAATAAAATTCATTAAAATAAAATTTGTATACCTTAAAATTCAAAATTCTTTCAAACATATTTCAATAAAATGAACGAGCACAAAAAAATATTGTAAATTATTTTTGACATATTTTATTTATTATTAATTTATTTACTTTATTTTTTTGGTAAACTAATTTTATAAGAAACCTTGAGAAAAAAACTTTTCGAATCACATCAAAAACTTCTTGAGGTATGGTAAAATACATTAAGTAACATTAAGGTGTAAAGTTAAAATTAAGTTCAATAGAGGTGTCCAAACTTTGGACCTGATCAAACCATTATGGCCATATTTTCAATATTGCTTCTATCCCTAAAATTTTGAGGGTTCGAAGTCAAATTTCGTCAAAAAAAAGTTATGTTTATTCAGAGAAAGTACGTTTTACTGACTCATTTTGTAACATATTGGATATATTTATTTACGTTATGTTACAAAATTTTATATTATACAAATGTGCAATATGTTATATATACACAATATATATATATATATATATATATATATATATATACATATATATACAATT